GCTATGCTCAGCGTTTCTTGTTTTTTCTAGATTTTATACATCTTTTTTTTAATTGTCCATGTTCAATATGCAATATTTGGAAGAGCTTGGGAATATTTGCCTATAGAGATTCATGTGATCCAGTGAAATATATAAAACATATGTCCCCGAGTATTTGTTAATATTATCATTCAAGAAATGATTATATTTAAGAAAAAATAGCTATCTACAATAATTTTTATTGTTCCAAGTATATAATAGGAGAATAGGCTTAATGTTCAGCTACTCTAGGCAGTCATTTGAATTTGTTTCATGAGTTCCTATTTCTCTTTATGTGTCTCCTGTTAAGCAGAGCAGAAATGTATATAGACAACAGCTTCTCAACTTCTGTTTCTTACTTTCTATCATCTCAGTAAAGATCACAGGTCTATTTCCCACAGGGACAGGGAACATATGTTTATCCAAATGAGGCAAATTTATACAAATACCAGATACAATTTTGATTTTCAACATTACACAAAGTTTATTTGACACAAAGTTTATATCTATTCACATTCAGACTTTTTGGATATCGTTCAAAGATACTAATTACTGACAACTTTCCTAGAGAAAGAGAAAACGAGAAGGATTTTAGGAATTTAACAAGAATGCTCTTGAGAAGTTCTTTTGCTGGTGAATTTTAAAATACAAACACAAACGTGCATAACAACTTTCTTAATATCAAAGACGATTTGTGCATCAGGCCGCAAAGGGTTTCTTGCATGAGTGAACTCTAAAAATTAGAATTCACGTGCAGATTTTATCCCAAGCCTGGCTCATCAAGTCTCTTTCAGAAACCTGAACAAGAACGATTCTTGGCTCCACAAGCTTTGCCCATCTATGTTTCTGTTCTTGGGAATTTTGGCCTCAGAACAACCATATCTTAGCCTGAGTGGAATGGCATTATTGAATAAATGTTCAACCGAGGTCCTGCTTTGACAAGCCTGTTTCTACCGAAGTTTCCCCTGTATACCACTCCTTCTCCCCACTCAGACACTTTCCTCATGATCGATTAGCAAATCTTCTCTCTTACTCTCCGTTAGGTTCTCAACATCTGCCCCGATAAAATTGCATTTTTCTCTCTAAAATGTGCTTATTCTCTATATAATGGTCCTGCTGTCCTTATAGACACCGAGACTCAAATTCTGGCATAAGCTTTAACCTCTGTTTTACCTTTGCCTCTGACAATTAGTCCTCCAGAATTTTTAAATTACCTGACCTCTCCTTTGTTTAATCCTTCCTATAATAATTAGGAAAGCTAATCTTCACTCACAACCTCCAGCCCTCTAATTGTGACCTCTCACTGATATTAGACTTCTCATGTGAACCAAGGAAATGATGCCTGAAATCAGAGGTTCTCAGTATGTGGTCAAGGACTTCTGAGGGTCACGGAGACCCTTTCGGTGGTTCTGCAAAGTTAAAATTATTTTTATAAAATCATGACGTCATCATTTCCCTTTTACATTTCATCCTCCCCTGAGTGTGCACTGGAGTTTGCCAGAGATTATATAATGTGTGATATTGCAACAGATTCAATATAAAAGCAGTTATGTAAATCCAACTGACTTCTCAGTAAGCCACATATTAATGAGAGTCACAAAATTGTGAAGCAAAGTCACTCATCTCATTATTTTTTTTTATATTTGAAAGTGTATTTGTCCTAAAAATATTATTGATGTTAACATGTAATGAGTGTATTATTTTTTAAATAAATAAATATCTATTTTTTAATCTTTAAGTTTTAAAATTATAAACATAAATTGATAGAACCTACATGAATAAAAGCTGTTTGGGGTTCTAAAATTGTTAAGAAGTTAAAGGAGTCCTGAGATGAAAAATTTGGAATCTCTGACCTAAATAATTATCCTGCCTATAATAGCTTCTTCCAAAATATTAAATTGGCTTATTTTTTTTGTCACTATCTATTTAAAATATTCAGTGACTTCACACTAACCACAGAAGATAGTCTAAAGGATTTAACCTGAAATTCAAATCCCTATAGTCTGCTTCTTGACCTCCTGTCATGCCCACGCCTAGGCAAAGGCAAAGCTAAGGCCTGAATAGTTCCACGTGTAAAGATGCAGTGAGCCCTTCTGAGACTGAGGAAACCATGCTCAGCCAAAGCGAGAGTAGCCAAAGGTGCCAGATCTTCATAGTTCTTGTTCCACACACCACAAAGGCTGATACCTAAAGAAGAGAGGCTAGATAATGCAACACGAATCAGGAACCCTTCACTGCTGAGGAGGCAGTTCCATACTACAGCCAAGTGGTTTTAAGGTCTGCAGCTCTGTTACAAAAAGATCTAGGAAGGAGAACCCAGGAGGCGATGAGAAGAAAACTCTCATGACAGCCTCCCAGGAGAGATAGGGAGGCATGTGGGGGATGGCCTCACAGCAGCTCCTCACAGCATCCTCCCCGTCCCCCAATCCTCTTATGTTCCAGAAGGATCACAAGCTACCTGTCAAGACTCAATTTAGCTGTGATTCAACCTTTGCCTGCTTGTCCTATATGGATTATGTGCAAGACCATCACAGCACCATGGAGGAGCCTTTTGCCCTATATTCCCATCCAATTTCTTCCTTTATGTATCATACTAGTGCCCCGGTGCACAGATTCATGCACATTGAAAGGATATTAATTAGAAGGTGGCCGGCGGGGTGGGACTGGGTGAGATGGGCCAGACACACCCTGGAGCCAACCTTCTGTGGTTGCTCCCCAGCCAGCAGCACCTGGGGTGGTGCTGCAGCTCGAAGGGCATCTGCGGAGTGAGCAGGGGTCCCTCTGGCCGGTGAAGACCCTCGTCCTGGCCTGCAGGGATCTGGGTTATACCGGCTCTCCGACATCCCTCGAGGGGTCCTGGATTGCAAGAGGGCGGTTCTTGGGTGACACACACTGGAATCGGGCCCCCTCCTCTCTGGTTCTGGGGTGCATCACCAGAGAACTGCTGCTGCCAAGTCACTGCAGCTCGGCAGCTCCTGCGCTGAGTGTCTGCCCCCTGGTGGTCAGTGTGCTTCATAGCTACTGGTTAGAGCGTTTGCCCCCTCGTAGTCATTGTGCATCATAGCTACCGGTTGGACGGTCAGACAGTCACTTAGTCTTTTATATATATAGATACTTCATCTATTCTAAGCCACTCTCAATTTTACACATAAAATGTGCTAGCTTGCCTTTGTTTCTGCTATTATCATAACAGAGCTTACCCTTTCCTTTTCTTCTATAAATATGCAATGTTTTCAGGGTCCAAAACAAATTCTCCTTCTTCTAAGACTTCTGTCTGACCCTCCCAATTACATATACTTTCTCTTTCATTTATAATCTCCCATCAGAGTTTATCTATAACTCCTACCATCACTCATGGTTTGCCACCCTGTACATCATATTACTTGTATTCATTTTCTTTCTATTCTGATTGACTTTAAGGCTTTTGACTAAAGGGACCATGTTTAATTCACTTTTATCCCCTACAGGGACTAAAATATTTCCTCACTTCACACATCACTCAACAAATATTCATTCTGTGAATGAAGCAATAATGTAGGACTCAAGATAAATATAATAGCCAGAGAATTATGAGTAGGCACTTAATTTTTCATATCCAGGCAAAGAAAATTCCTTTTTATTATTGGGAGTTATTATCCAGTGAGCATTTGAGGGCTAGAAAATTATAGTCAATTGTTGGCAATTTCATCTCTGATGTATTTAATCACTAGCTGCTATTTGGGTTGCACTAGCAGATCTCAGTAGATCTCATTCTGCTTCTTGATGAATTCCCACACAGGTTATCTTCTGAAAGATACAGCTCCATTGAGAACTAGCCAGATTAGATTTATTGTTTCCCATAACCAGAACAAGAGGAAGTAAAGTAAAATGCAAAACTTCATGTAAGAATTAGTCTCAAGTTCCAGGGCTTCAGAACTGGAGAAATCATGCTGAAAAACAATGCAAAATATCTGGTTTTGTAATTGAACACATATGTCAGTTGGGTAAGTTTCACAGAGTAGATGGGTACTTCATCACCAACATTATTAGACTACCAGAGAGTTATCTTTTCCCTTCAATGTCAATTGGTATTTCATTTCCTTCTGGCATCTCTTATGAAACATAATAGACCATACCTGGTACATTACTAAAGTTGAGTGAGTGATGGAATTGAACAGATTGCAAACACATCACTACTTTTGAATAACAGCTGCTACAGGCCTCAATGTTCTTAATAAAAGGCTCGTTCAGATTATTGGGCAGATGGTTTTTAGGGAGGTGTAGTCGCCACATAAGCCTTTATGATATTTTTAAGCTGTTTTGGCAGAGTGCTGAGAGGGCATAATGAAGTTTAATAGCATGAGTATTAAAGGCTGGTACTTATAGCTCTTAAGAGTCAGAATGTGATCTTTCAATTGCAAGCATTATATTTTTCGGTTACTTGAGTATTTTACTTTGTAAGTCTGCTGCTCTGTTGGCTCCAAAAGATGATTTTTTAATGACATCATTTTAAGTTAATTTAACTATGGTTTCCTGTTCTTACACGCAAATATAGTGAACTTTTTAAAGTTCTAGTCCGATAGATCATGGCTTGTTCATTTTTACATTTCAACTTCATGAAATATTTTTTTATCTCAATAAGTGTTACACTCTACCTGATCCTGAACTGCATATTATTTTTTCTTTCATTTTAGTACAATTGCTATTTAGTACAATATATTATCAATTCTTATTAGTAGGAAGAAAGAAAACAAATTTAAAACAACAGACATTTTATAGATATGCATATTGTATTTAGCTTTCCACATCTATCTCATGCCAGCTTCTAGTTGGAAAATGGGGTGTTTGGAAATAACCTTGCCCTAATCTGCCACATTTATCCCCTGTCTGTTTCAACATTATTCCCAAGTTTTATTTCAATTGTATTCCTGAATAACTATGGGCTCACCATGCTCTGCTTGTGTTTTCCATGTTGGCAGCATTCTGGGCTCAAAAGATACTCAGTGAGGATCACATGACCTGTTGGGCAGGCAGAAATCCTGCTCCACTATACTGGAGCTAAACACATTGAAAAGTCATGATGGCCATTGAACTATCCACTTCAGACTTTCAGCTGCTGTGCTATAGAAATCCATGTCTTTAAACAGAAGTAGGCACTATATATTGTTAATATATAGTTAGGTAAATGACAAAGATGATATTTATCATGTTCTTATATAAAATTATTTAATATGATATTTTTTCTATATGTTTAAAGTACTCACTTGATTAGAATAATTATTCATGAAGGAAATGAATGTGAAAGTGCTTACAAAGCACTTGTGTTTTAGATAGCAAATTTAACCCAATCCATTATAGTTTCTGATGAGAAACTTAATAGCGAGAAAAAGATTGATTTCTTTGTGGGGAAGGTGGTGAATATTAATAAAGTCTAGTCTAAAATTCGTTTACTTTTAGACATAATAGTGTTTAGAAATGTTTACTGAATAAATAAATGTTCTGTTCCAAGGACCTATCATTTTTAAAAATAAGGCTTGTTTGTTTTTTTCCTTATGTGAAACATATCCTTATTACAGAAAAATTAGAAATTCAGAAAGAAGTTGAAGAAACATCGTTTTAATGACAGTGTATTCTTTATAGTCCCCCTACTGTTTAATATTCCAAACATTTAGAGGTGTAAAAAGTGACATTAAAAAAGCATGGTGTAGCTCAGTGGTTGAGTATCAACCTATGAATCAGGAAGTCAGTTTGATTCCTGATTGGGGCATATGACCAGATTGGGAGCTCAATCCCCAGTAGGGGGCATACAGGAGGCAACCTATCAATGATTCTCAACATTGATGTTTCTGTCTCTCTCCCTCCCTCTCCGAAATCAAAGAGAGAGAGAGAGAGAGAGAGAGAGCGAGAGAGCGCTTGAGCGCTTTTAGGGGGAAATATAGAACTGTAAGTATTATATGAAAAGCATGCTCATTTTTATGGCTTTCTAGATTCTTTCCAAGTTGTTTTCCTAAAATGTGCTTTCAGCTTATAATTCTATGGAAGAAGGTTGATACTTTCATTATACTGCCACATTTTTCTACATAACAACTCAGTTGACCATCTAACAGTTTTTGTGAACAGACTCCCGCACATTGTCCTCTTCAAACATTTTAGGTCCATTACTTCTTTGTGGAAGTAAAATCATGCTATGAACCCATCTCACCATAAGGCACACAAATCCATTAACTTGCAAACTGTTAGTGGATGTCTACTGTTCTAGGTTCTAAGCCATACAATTGTCAACCAGAAAAGAGTTTATTTACCTTTTGCAAGTAGCAATTTGTGGTTCATTGTTATGATTCTAATTTCACTAATATTGGAGAATTTCAAAATTCAGTTACAGAAGAGGTAAAAGAAAGAACACAGAGTATAATAAATAAAATATTCTAAGCAAAAATCTGAGTTAACTTGCCTCCATCCTAAATTAAAGCTCAAAAGCCTCTTTATTTTAAAGTGATAGGAATGATAGTTTCATGGCCTATATTCTGGAAATAACGTATTTCTCAGATCTAAGTTGAATAACCAAAAGACTAAAAATAAAATAGATGTCTGCTGACCACTGAATACACTTTACTAAATAGCAGTTAATAAGTATAATGATGTGTTCATTAGTAACCCATAAGCTAAAATCCACCAGTTTCTTTTCCATTACAATTGGAATAATTAAATGTTTATATTGAAAATGTATTGATTATTCAAAGAGAGTACAACATATTTCACCTGGACTGCTTGAGATTGAACAAATGAAAAAAAAGTTGCAAACTAAAATCATGGACTCCAGCTAATTTTTATGGAAACAGATCATATATTGTTCAGATTGTCTTTCTATGAAAATATTATTAACTTCTTTTATAGATACAATGTAATGTCTATGCAAATTATATATGGCTATTTTTTCTTACTTTTTCATATTTTATACTTCAACAAGTTTCTCACTTCCTATCTCATTCTCAGACTCACCCTCTTAAAAATTTCTCTTTAAGCCCTAAATTCTAAAAATATGTAATCAATCCATTTTGTTGAAAATGATTTCAAGGTGAATGAACATTTTGTTGTGAGCTAATCAGTTGTTGATTGAACTTATCTGCTTTATCAATAATTTATCTTTGTGTTTTCAGATTCCAAGAAAACAAAAACATCTGCAGAAGGTATTGGAAATATTTTCCGATTCTGTCTTATATTTGATGAACCCCAATTAGCATTACTTTTTAAAGGATTAACATAGAAAAAAACCATACATATGGGAAAGAGGAGAGAGGAAAAATATTGAGGTTGAAAGAGAGAAAGAAAAAAAAACAAGAGTCGAGTCTTTTCTGATAATACTGCTCTGAGAAATATTTGGCAGTAATAAAAAAGAAAGACTGTATATGTTTTCCTTTCACAGTAATTGTTTTCAAAGACATATTTGCTTGACGAAAAAAATTTGAACAATGCTTAGTACCAAGCATTTATTTCACTGGAAAGTATAAATTCAATTAATCTTTGATACATCAGCATTAAATAGGAAACTAAATAGTTTCTTTGTGTTGAATAGAATCATAACTCATAGCAAGTATACCAGTTTCTTCTGTATTTATTCGTATGTGTTTTTGTGTTCACATGTATTTATGAAGACTGCAAGGTATAAATTATTTAAAGTGGTTAGACATTTGGTCCTAGGTTAATTCGTTGTCAAAGAGTATATTACAATCAAATTAAGGAAACACCTATAATAAGCAGCAATACCTCAGAGCAGCACTCACTGTGAAACTTAAGGGAAGAGGATGAGGGAGGGGTTGACAAAATTATAGTCGAACCAGTGTGTTGGAGAAGTAAACTTTATCTTTAATGTTTTTAAGAGCAATGTTTTCTTTCAACAGAACAACCCAAGGGAAAAAGTAAGGAAATGCATGAAGATGTGTGTGTGTGTTTTCTCTATACAACTACCCGCTGGCACATGAAGACTTGCAGTTTCCAGTCTCCCTTTTCTACATTTTGTGCATGTGAATTATTTGTTGTTGTTTTTTATCAAGATGAAAAAATACACAACCTGGGAGTGGGGAGGGTCAGTGTGAACTGCAAGGCATGTTATAGTCTTAGAGTTCTTTTTTAAACTCATGTAATCATCTAATAATATTATCCATAGCCTCCTAACCTAAAATACAACTGTATCCATTAACCAAAACTGTGGGTGTAATTTAGTCTTGATAATCTGGTTAGTTCTGTCCTTAGCAAAGCCTGAGTAGTAATTCTTTTACAGACCAGTTTTACAACTTCTCTTCTATTTCTTTCTTTCTTGTAATCCAAAATACCTTGGCATGTTCCCATGATATCTAACATTTTGTCCATAGCATGAATTTTCCTCCTACAAGTGCTCCTCTGGGCTCTGTGGAATACCTTTGCTTAGGATCCATATCTTAGGCAGCACCTGCAGTTGCTTTAACACACAGTACTAAAGCTATTTGCTAACAATTCAGTAAATCCTTGAGGTCATGTCCTTTGCAGACATATACTCTCCTCTAAAGAAAATAGGTCATAATTAAGAAATAGAAATAAAGATCCTTACCTTAACCATATTCAATTAGCATTAGAAATCAGAGGTTTTAAAGATCCCAATAATATTAAAATCATGTTTTAAAATGCACACCAAATTTAAAAAATATATATGCATGACTTGGTCCTGCAAAAAGGTCAGGATGCTGAGAATGTCTCTGTCATAAAAATGCTCTAAAATATCCTGTGGAGAGAATCATGAAATTATACTACAGCTCAGCCAGGGGGAGCAGTCTGCCTATGAAGAAGGTTGTGATTTATGAGTGTGCAAAGCAGCTGAGGAGCACTGGCACAGGAATACAGAAACCACTCTATAAACCATTGCACCGAGAGGAAAATGAGAAATAACTGGAGATTTAAAAAATGGTATTAAATTATCCATATATATTTTTATATATGCAAAATATATGTAGGGTTATATATATATTTCTTAAAGTCCGCACTTCATCGCAGTCTATATGATTTAAAATTTCCCGCAGATTTGCTGAGGATCCTTGGCCATCTTCATTCAGGGCATTGATGTAGTTAATAAATAGAGAAGCCTTCTTAGAAGCTCATTTACATCTCAACTGCTTTCCTCTTTGGAAAGATCTGTGGATTTTGAATTGGGCAGTAGTAAGGGAAAGAAAAAGATTTGTCCTCTAAACAACTATTGATTCTTTTCAAATGAATATATTTGTTCTGGTTTATCATCAAAACATGTTTTTATTGTTATTGTTGCATTTTTTAATTTGTTTGATCTAGGGTGTTGTTGTTTTTTTTTTTGTCTTTAAGATTACTTCATTCAGTTATACATCTCCAACCCTATATTCTTATTTTGTTCCTACTTTTCTAGTTAACACAGCTTAAGAGGCTGTATTTTGTCTTAGCTTAAAATAAATCATGGTAGGGGGCACAGGGTGAGGAGCACATGAGACCTTCCTGTACATATTTTTGTAAATTCCTGTGACTTATAATTTTTTCAAAAAACAAAAGAAAGAAAAGACTCAAATATAGTTCCATGCTGTTCTGTGACAGAACTCTGTGAAGGGAAGTAGAAGGACATACTTGTTCTGAATATATAATATTAGTTTTTTTAGAGCAGTTATTACTTGCCACAGTCCTGCATTAGCACATACATGTTTCTTTGTGTTAAGACAATTAAGTTTGGATGCACAAAATTGGAATAATAATAATAATGATAATAATATGTTTCAGAACAGGAAAAGAAAGAAAAACATACAGAACCAGGTAACTATTTTTAATTGCCTCTATCTTCTTAATTTCAAGATATGATTTAATTTGCCATCACATACTGAATTGTGATCTAATAACATGAAATGTTGACTTTTTTCTTGTCTTGTTTGATACAGCAAAGCCACCAAAGAAGGAACATTCAGGTGAGTCAGGCCAGTGTTGCTGGGTTCTTTCTACCAGATGCCCAGTGTTTATTAATGCTGCAGCTCAGAGGGCAGTGAGGGCCATGACAGGAACGGACAGGAAATTCTTCTCTCACTCCCCCTAGCCCCATCCCAACTTCTTCACTTAGAGATAACACTACTAAAGTTTTAGACATTGAAAGACAAATATTACGTGACACTCCTGCTGCTCAATGTATGCTATGAACCAGCAGCACCAGAACCATCTGAAACCTTGCAAGCAAAGCAGAATCTCTGGTCCCACTCCAGGCTACTGAATTAGAATCTGTGACCTCCTAAGATCCCCAGTGTCTGAGAAGCACTGTTTTACAGTTTAGTGTAAAAAAAAAAAATTAAAAACAAAATAAGATCAAATGCTGTCTGTAATTGTGTCTGGTATTGCTTTGCTTTTAAAATATGAAATATTGAGCCCAACCGGTGTAGCTCAGTGGTTGAGCATCGACCTATGAACCAGGAGGTCACAGTTCAATTCCCAGTCAGGGCACATGCCCGGGTTGCAGGCTCGATCCCCAATGTAGGGCGTGCAGGAAGCAGCTTATCAATGACTCTCTCTCATCATTGATGTTTCTATCTATCTCCTTCTCCCTTCCTTTCTGAAATAAATAAAAATATTTTTAAAAAAATATATGAAATATTTCATTTAAGCAAATATTCTCTCCCTATTCCAAATGCTTAAGTACTCTGGCATTTCAATGAGAGTAGAGTCAATTTTTTCCCTCGATGTATTTATAGTCTAATAGTGAAAAATTGAATTGGGAATCAGACAACCAAAAAATAAACATAAAACAAACAAAAACTAAAAATGTAATTAGTATAGATATTAAATGGTTTTCTAAAAAGTTCTAGCATTGAACTTGCCCTACTAGTGGTTTCAGATGAAAATAAATGCAAATTTCTGAAATTTTTTATTGACCTCATTTTATAACATAATCTGTTGATTTTGCCTGGCACACTTCTACTCAAGGAACTTCATTGATTTTTCTTGTGTGTCTACTAGTCACTCCTGCTATTTTATTGTATTTCAATTAAAATAGCATTTACTTAATATTATGTAAATAACCATGCAAATATAGCTTTACCATATTCTTACCTGTTCCATAGACCACAAACTGCCACAGGTCTGAAATCATATTTCTAAATCTTCTTCCAACTTTATAATATTCCTCAGACAACCCAAATCCATTTATGTGTCTCTCCAACTAGTTCGCATAGTATCATTTTCTTTCTTTTATAAAAGCACTTAATATACTGATATAATCATATTACCTTTTCTTTTTTTCACTTTAAATAATCATAATTTAGAGGTTAAGGATTGCCTTTTATATCTCAATTCCCAGAGTGCTCATTCTGAAGTCAGCATATGGTGGGCACTTGATAATGGTTGATTGAATGGAAAGAGAAATATCAAGTAGGTTAAGAACATTTATTTTAAGCATTTAAATATGAGTGACTTTCAAATAATTTACCATATGAAATAATCGCACATTTAACCACTTCATGTTAACATTGCTGTTACTTATCCTTTCAAAAGGATTTTTTTTTGTTTATCTCACAGAAAACAGACTATTTGGTCATGGGTAACATTTCCACAAGTGGGCCATTACACATATTCTCACTTATTCATATACGCAGAAAACTAAAACAAAGCAACAACCCAGAAGCATAGAGACGCAACAGAATGACTATGAGTGTAATCAGTTTCAAGAGTTTTAATAGCTAAACATTATTGTCTAGTACTGAACCTGACAAAATACAATAATTTAAATTCCTTAAAACCATTATCTGCTCAGTCTAGGGATTCATGATAATGTAGAAGCTTAACAATAATTAACTTTATTTTAAAATTTTAAACCATTGGATAATTTATCAATTCACTTCATTTTTTATACCATTTTATAGACTTCAAGAAAAATGAATTGGCTTGTATATGAAAACAATAAGATTCTTAGATATTTTAGAATGGAAAACAGAATGAATAAGTTAGGAATGAGCATTCTATGTTGGGAGAAGGTATACGAATATGAAAAAAGAATTATGGTCTATGGCATATATTTAAATAAAGTACATCAAAAGAAATGGCACAGTGTTGCATTTTCTCCTCCTCAAATCTATTTTTATTAGCTTCCATTTAAAAAATGAAAATAACCTTAAAAATATGTTAGAGACAAGTAGATGTGTAATTAATTTAGACATTATTTCTTGTCTTTATCAGCTCCAAGTGAAAAAGAAGTAAAAGCAAGTATGTTGAATAAAACATTAAAAAATAAGCTTATTTCAGCAGCTTACTCACTTAAGTTTTCTGTTATAGACAATGCTAATGCTGATTTTTAAAGCTGGCTTACCAAATATATTTTGCTATGTTCACCTAATTTGTCGCAATAACATGCATAGTTAACCTTATATTTTCTGTGAGTTCATTCTTATTAAAATTTCTCTATAGATTTTCATTTGTAAATGTTAATTTGTCCAGATCATAATCCCTTTTTGAGTTTTTTGTATTTTAGTTTCCCCTTCTGCAGAATGTTAATTGATTTCTTCAGCTTCTTAAACACATCAGACTTAATATTTCTAATGATTAATCACTTGGTCAAACCAGTAGGCAACATAATTTGTCTACCAGTGAAGTCATTTTGTCTTTAATAAAATGAGGCCCCCCAAATTTTATTAATTACTACTGTTGTAATGTCATAGTTTTCCTTTTAACGTCTGTATCCTCGCATTGTAAATATTGACTGATAACTATAATATACTGTGGCATCTGCTTCAATCGTAGCAAATACTCTTAGAGAGAAATGCTAATTATTTTGTCAGTATTTCTTAATTCAATATAGTACCTAACAGACTGTCATTAATAAAAATTATTTTGGCATAATTGCATGTATTTAATTTTAGAAAAATATACTTTTAGATTCTCTAAGCTTTTTGTATAGGAATTTATGGCTAAACCTGTATTGTACATAATGTATTAATATTTTTTCTTTTCAGTTAGAGCTCCTTCAGTATTAAAAAAGTACTGATACATAAAACAAATTCATTTTTTTATTTAGTGCTGGGTTTTTGAGATAGTATATAATTTATGAATCTATCAGAGAAAATTTGAAAATATTATGTTGAGTAACTTATTGAAAATGTTTTTGAAAAATTACACATGGAAGTGTTCATATAGTCATAGTAGACTTTAAAAGAGAAGGTTTACATGAATTTTAAATTCCATTTATATTCCATAAAAAAATTTAGTTAATATAAATCTGATTGGAACTTTATATTATGAAGTCTTTAGGATACTAATACTTGGTCTGTAGAAATGCATTACCAGAAATATATATAAAACAAAACTGATAACTTTGCAATATTAGTAGAAAACCTTAGATTGATGATTACTCTGAAATGAACATTTTCTTCATAAAAAAAACATAACATGTAGATTAAAATATTCATTTGCAATAAAAAAAACCCTTATAAGTTCTGCTATCTACAAAACACATTATCAAATCAACTTTTGAAGAGATCAGCATTGTTTCCACAAAATTAGGTTGCCAAATCATCTTCAACCCAATATAAAAGTTGCAAAAGAATTCATATTCAATTCCTTATATTGTTGAGAGATTTGGACTTTACATGGGTATATCTCTCAAGAAAAAAATTCATTAGGGATAATTCATAATTGTTTAAATTCTCTACTAACAATGTAATCAGCCATTTCCCCTCTGGGAAAAAACATTTTTTTGACCTTAAAACCATACAATGTAATTTTTATTTTTACATGCTACTATATGCAATAGGTTGTGTGTAAAGTTAATGCCTAAGGTAAAAATTGTGTATCATTACAAATACTTTTAAAATTTCTTAAATCACCCATATATTATGGTGTACATAGTTTTGCATATATAACTTTAACATTTGGGATATTAATTTACATGACCTTAAATTATGAGAACAATTGAGAAAGTATGATGCATAGTTTAGTGAACAGGAAGTGTGTATGTGATGTGATTCCATGGTATTGAATTTTAAAAGATAGATAAGATTGACTGGGTTAGAGCAAGTCCATGGAAAGAGTAAAAGGTGATATATTATTAGCACTCACTTAAATGGAATAGCTAGAATGGTGATTGAGTTTGTGGTGTGAAATTGTTTAGGTCCTGAGGAAGCCAAAATCAGTACAGGGAAAATACTGAAGGACACAGACAAGCTGGAGATCTATATCTTAGTTTCCTGTGGATGACAGAAAACTTCAACTTTAATTAGTCTTGATTTGAGGTCCAACATTTTGTACTGGGACCAGCATTTTAGATTATGTCTTAAAGGCAGCTCTCCTATCTTCCACACTAGATATTCAGAGAAACTCCAAGAAAGTATTTTGGCCTTTTTGATTCTATTTTTTCTCTCGCTCAAAGCAATCAATATTCAAATAAAATTTGTGTTATATTATGGCTGATCTCTTATAATGCAAAGCTAATTGATTGATGTCAAATACTTCTTGATATACCATACTTAAAGGCCAAAAAAGAAGGCCTTTTAAGTCCTCTTTCCTCTAACTCATATCATTTTAGATTTAATTATAAACTAATAAATTAGTATTCCAGTGTATTTTGTGGAATAAGCTACCTGCTTTTATGGTCACTACTTATAAAAGCTAAAATTTTGATATTGCATTGTGAAATCCTGGAAGAGAGTGTCTGTATTGCTACTTAAAGAAGTTCACTACCATAGTTTATAAAAATACACCTGCTTTATAGTTTGACCTTCTCTGCTGCTTGATTTGCTCTAAGGTGCCACATATATTTTATCTTTTGGACAGTTTAGTCTTGTCTGACTTACAATACTATCGATATCCACCTGGCATCTCTGATACTTATTTTTCATTCTTTACCATCTGAATTTTGCAGAAATTGATCGAGCCAAGGAAGAGGCTGGAGCTGCCTCCACTAAAAAAGGTAAATGCAACTTAAAGAAAAAGGTGTCATGACTAAAACTTATTTCTGCACAGGTTTCTAAACGTTTCATTTAGTGCTTATTAAAGAGTTCTATTTATTGATTTCACTATTTTTTGATATGGAAACAAATTCACTTTGCATAAGATTTATAGTGTCTATATTAACAAGGTCTTGCCTTCAGTGTTCTGATGCCAATAGTTTCATTCCTTGGGGCCATAAACTAAAACTAGTAATTGCAGTTCAATTTCATGTTCGTTTCTGAAAAATTGAAGAAATATAGCTGTTCAAGTTCAAAGGGTTCCCAATCGCCTGGAGAGAGCATTCAACTACAAAATACTGCCCGAGGTGGTTAGAGCTCAAACAAATGAAACTTTGACTAGGAGAACTTACATGAACAATGGACATTTGGGGGAAGAATAATATCATATTTTAAAATGTGTTCCTTGGAATGCTCACTTGGAAACACTTTGCTTTAAGAAACATATTGGAAAGTTTGGAATTTAAGTTTTCAAAGTTATTTCTCTTGTCAGTGTCCCTTCTCATTTCCCATTAGGTTGAGGCTTCTGTCCCTACTGTGTCATTAATGCTTTTACTAATGGGGATGACATTATCATTACTAAACCAGTAAGACCATTTAGCCCTCACATTACTAGATTTTTCAGTTGCACTTACCATTTTGTTTCTTCTCTCACTTTTGGGTTATCATGCCAACATAGTCTCCGAGTTCTCCTAATATTCTCTGATATTTATTTCTGACTTCTTTCTGTTTTGCCTTTTTCTACACCTTAATCATTGATGCTCCCAGATTCCATTATTAATCCTCTGAATTTCTCATTCTACAACCTCTCTTTGTGAAATATGTCCACTCTCAAGGTTGAAACTCTGTTCCCAATTCTATGTTGTCATTTAGGACTTCATGAAAATGCTTTTCCCAGAAAATTTCAGCCTTGTATGTTCAAATGCATAATAAACAGCTTTAAATTCAACCTTTTAAAAAATATATTTTATTGATTTTAGAGAGGGAGAGACAGATAAAAACATCAACGATGAGAGAGAATCACTGATCAGCCACCACCCTCATGCCCCCCTCCCACTGGGGACTGAGCCCCCAACCAGGGCATGTGCCCTGACCAAGAATCGATCCATGACCTCCTGTTCATAGGTCAATGCTCAACCACTGAGCAACACCAACCGGGAAAATTCAACCTTTCTTAACCTAAACTCCTCATTTTATTTTTCCATCACCATTAATCCCCTCTATGCCCTGTTCCACTTCCACCCAATCCCCTCCCCCTCCCTTAATCTGCTGCCCATCTCCATGAGCTCTCTCTCTTTTCCTTCCTCTTTCCTTTCCTTTCCTTTCCTTTTCTTTCTCCTTTCTTTCTTTCTTTCTTTCTTTCTTTCTTTCTTCTCTCTCTCTTTCTTTCTTCCTTTCTTTCTTTCTTTCTTTCTTTCTTTCTTTCTTTCTTTCTTTCTTTCTTTCTTTCTTTCTTTCTTTCTTTCTTTTTTTCCTCAATCCCTTCACTGTCTGCCTTCTCTCTATCTATGAATCTATCTCTATTTTGCTTGGTAGTTCAGTTAATTCATTCAATTCCACATATGAGTGAAAACATATGGTACTTGTCTTTCTCTGACTGGCTTATTTCACTTAGCATAATGCTCTCCAGTAAATGAGTGGATAAACTAATTTTCTTTTCTCAATTTGCAACTCTTTATCACTGGTGAAACCACAATCCATTCTCCACCTTACTAGAAATCTGGGGGCAACTGAGTTTTCTTTTTTTTTTTTCCTTCACTTAATATTCAAAGAATCTTCAAGTTCTGCTGATTTTATTCCCTAAATATTTCTTGAATATATTTCCTCCTATTCATAGCCATGCCTTTAATCTGAATTCAAATCTTCATTGTCTTATGTTTAACCATTATAACAATCTCACCACTTTCCTCATCTCCTTATTTTTATTTCAGTAATATTCATCTTACCAGAACTCCCAGTACAGTAAAAATAAATTATCAAAGTCTTAAAACAGAATAAACCACTCTTAATTTAAAACTCTCTCCCTAGCTGGTTTGGCTCAGTAGATAGAGCGTTGGTATACAGACTGAAGGGTTCCAGGTTCAATTCCAGTCAAGGGCACATGCCAGGTTGCGGGCTCGATTCCCAGTAGGAGGCGTGCAGGAGGCAGCCAATCAATGATTATCTCTCTTCATTGATGTTTCTATCTCTTTCTCCTTCTCCCTTTCTCTCCCAAATCAATAAAAAATATGTAAAAAAAGAGAGAAATAAAAACATAAACAACAAAAACTCTCTTTTCCACAATTGTCCATAAAATTAAGTCCAAGCTTGTTAAAACGATGTAAAAGTCTCCCAAGATCTGGTTCTTATATCACTTTCAAACTTCATCTTATGGAGCAGGACTTGCTTCAGTGGGGCTTTAGTGCTCACTGAGTCTGCCCCTTGAGTGTGTTGCTTATGGATGTGAAGAGTTGTAATCTGGTATGGTCTGACACTGGCCACTGGGGACACTGGCTCTTGGGGCTCTAGGGAGGTGTAAAGTCAGCCACTGCCTGGGGCCACCCAGCAGGAGCTACAGAGAGATCTGCAGATTCCTCCTCTTTGTATTGGGTTTGGAAGTGCCCAGACTAGGCCAAGCTGTGAAGCAAGGTAGGCTGGTGCTGGTGCAGGTCTTGGGCATTTTATTGATAGGTTTGGGGCTCCCTGGCCCAGCTGCAGCTTGTTTGACAGGATTTTAGCCTGAGCAAGGACAGATCATTCATATGCAAAAGCCGCTGTGCACAGCTTGGGTGGGGTTGTAAATTGGGTGGGGCGGGGTCTCAGGAAATCACCAGGGTGGAGCAAACAGCAATGGCTGCCAGTCAGCCCTGCACTGGGGAGGTCCCAGCATGGGAATAATGCCCACTGCTAGAACCTCTGTCTGGAAGAAAGCCGCCCCCAAGTTCCTGCCCCATGCCAGACAGAGCCTCACCCTGGTGCTGGAGTTCAGAAGAAGCTGGAGCTTGTAGGTTTAGTTCTGGTGCCAGCCCTTTAAGAGGAGCAGCTGGGTCTCCAGCAGCCTGTGTATCACTGAGCCCCAGTCCGCACTGATTTTTACAGGCCGTAGTTCTTACTGCTGTAGGGACTTCTTTTCCCAACTCTGGGACCCTGGGCTGGAGGTGTATGGTGTGGAGCTGGGAAGCATTGCTCCTCCCAGGTGGCCTCTGCTAAAACCATCTCCCTCCTGATTAAAAAAGCAGCCATGTGGGTGCTGGGCCAGCCCATTCTGCACCTCCACACCTCCTGCCAGTCTCAGTGTGCTTTCTTCTTTACCTCTCTAGTTGTAGGATTTCCATTCAGCCAGCTTTCCGGTGATTCTGGCTGATGGTCGTTCTGTATTTTAGCTGTAATTTTGATGTAGTTGTGGGAGGCAGGAGTACAGGCATTTGCCTATGCCACCATATTGGTTCTCTCCATTACTTTTTTGAAAACATTTTTTCAATAAATTTGAAAATTTTTAATTAAACTGATATTTTGAATCCATAATTATAATTCTTCTCCAAGGAAAATTTTAACCAGATGGCTTCAGTGGTGAATTCTTTCAAACATTTAAGGAAATATTAACAATCTTCACCAAACCTTCCAGATATAGAAAATAAGGAACATTTACTCATTTTAACCTTAATATCAAAACCTAACAGGAGCTGAAAAAGAAACAAAATATAAAGACTAACTTCTCTTGTGAATATGAAGGCATAGACTTGAGCAGATCAAGTCTGATAATATATGTGCAAGATAAAATGCAAACAAATTTGTTTTATTTTAGGAATGCAATTTATTTATTATTTTTTAAAATATTTTTTTATTGATTTCAGAGAGGAAGGTAGAGGGAGAGAGAGAAATATCAATGATGAGAATCATTGATTGGTTGCCTCCTGCATGCCCCACACTGAGGATTGAGCCTGTAACCCGTGCATGTGCCCTGATTGGGAATTGAACCATGACCTCCTGGTTCACATGTTGATGCTCAACCACTGAGCCATGCTGGCCAGGCTTCAGGAATTAACCAGAATAAATCAATGTAATTAACCAGAATAATAAAATCACAGGAATAAATAAATGCATCATAATAGATGCATTTGATATAATTCATCACTAGAGTAGAAAGAAGCTTCCTTAATCTGTTAAGATATATTAAAAAAAAAAAAACATTAACAAATATCATAGCCACTAGAGACAAGTGGAAAGGTTTTCTTCTAAGAATTAGAACAAGACAAAGGTGTATGCTATCACCACTATTACAAATTGTACTGGCTATTGCAGCAGTGCAATAAGATGAGAAGAAGAAATAATAGGTATAAGAATAGAAAAGTAAGAATAAAACTCATTACTCACAGATGAAATTATCTACTTGAAAAATTCAAAAGAATGTGCAGATGAACTATTATAATTAATGAGTGATTTTAACAAGTTTTCTGTAAAAAGCAATTCTCTATCTATCTGGTTCTTCATATTAAATTTTTGAAAAGATCATGGCCACTTACACTGTAGACATCTTTTATTGTTCTGATTGTTTCTTCAGAATGCTATTTAAAATGTTCTGTATATCCTATGTTTGATTAAGAAAGCTAAATCTTTGGCTTAGCTGGATTCCAGTTGTTTTGTCAAGAATATTTCAGAGGTTATACTATATACAACAAAGTTCATTTCATTAGGAAGCAAATAGTATGTCCTATTATGAATAAACTAGAGGCCCAGTACACGAAATTCATGCACAAGGGTGAGGGGGGGTCCCTCCACCCGGCCTGCACTCTCTTGCAATCCGGGACCCCTCGGGGGATGTCTGACTGCCAGTTTAAGCCTGATCTTGTAGGGATCCCTATGGGATCGGGCCTAAACTGGCAGTCGGACATCCCTTTTGCAATCCGAGACCGCTGGCTCCTAACCGCTCTCCTGCCTGCCTGCCTGCCTGATCACCCCTAACCACCTCTGCCTCAGCCCCCGCTGCCGCAGCTTCATCCAGAAGGACGTCCAGAATGACGTCTGGAAGGTCGTTTGGCTGTCCGGTCTAATTAGCATATTACGCTTTTATTATTATAGACTAGTGGCCCGGTGCACGAAATTCGTGCACAGGGGAGGGTGTGTTCCTCAGTCTGGCTTGCACTCTCTCCAATTTGGGACCCCTTGAAAAATGTCCTGCCAGTTTACAGGGATCGGGCCTAAATCAGCAGTCGAACATCCCTCTCGTAATCCAGGACTGTTGACTCCTAACAGCTCACCTGCCTGCCTGCCTGCCTCTAACCACTCCGCCTGCCCGCCTGCTTCCCCCCAAATGCCCCCCCGC